GCGCACATAGCTGGAAATCAGAACATCAGAGGTACAAACGCGAGAATCACCATTTCCTGAGCACCTCGGTATGAAAGGTACTTTGCATACAGTCAAGTATCTCTGCAAAGCTTGGCTTAACCTCAGGCCAACCTTACAAAGAGGATTTCTAACCTCCCCAAGGGCACATACTAGCTCTTGTTTATCTATTCCCAAGCTCCAGAATAGTGTCTTAGTGTTTGGCACATTCAATATTTACTTCTTAAATGAACAAAGTAGTCCCCTTTTTGCAAATGAAGAACTACTAAGGCTCCCAGTAGTTAAGCAGCTAGAAAAGCCTGGATTCAAACCACACCTTAAAGCAACCTTCTAAATAACTAGGAGACCCCACAACTGGAAACATATATAAACCAAGACAGAAAAGAAAATTTGTTTTAGTTTGCTTTTCTGTAAAATTATGAGACTATGATATATTACTTGCTTACATTTATACAAAGGCATAATAATGTTCAACTTTATTTAAATAATAATAGCTATTGATTTATGGTTTTCTATGGACTAATTTCTGTACTAAGTGCTTTACGTATGCTCTCTCATTTAATCCTCATAACACTATTATTATTATCCCCATTTTATAGAAAAGAGAACTAAGGCTTAAAGAAGCAAAGTAACTTAAGTGGCAGAGCCAGGATTCAAATCCAGGCAGGAAGACTATTTTCAAAACTCAACTTTTAAATCAATACACTTGTTACATGTAAATGGCAGTGGCGAAAAGGCAAAAAAACAAAAACAAAAAAAACAGGTGTACCAGTGAGTAAAGGTACTCTTCCCTAAAAGCAAAATAAACTGATAAGAACAAAGGGCTTGGGTGGGCACAGTGGCTCATGCCTGTAATCCCAGCACTTTGGGAGGCCGAGGTGGGTGGATCACTTGAAGTTAGAAGTTCGAGACCAGCCTGGCCAGCATGGTGAAACCCCGTCTCTACTAAAACTACACAAATTAGCTGGGTGTGGTGCTGAGCACCTATAATCCCTGCCATTTGGGAGGCTGAGGCAGGAGAATTGTTTGAACCCAGAAAGTAGAGGTTGCAGTGAGCCGAGACTGCACCACTGTACTCCAGTCTGGGTGACACAGTGAGACTCTGTCTACAAAGAAAAAGAAAAAAAAAAAAAAAAAAAAGAATAAAGTACTTATTGTTGTAGTATAAGCTGTGAGTCCCCCAAAAAAACAGAACACACATGAGCTAGCTTAAGTGAAACAGAAATTAATCGTTTTAAAGAATACAATAATGATGGAGTGGTGGTGGGCGGTCATCATGGTAGATACAATAATATTAATTAAACTCAACAATTAAAATGGCCGTTTCTGTGGCCCAGGCCCTGGTTCTAAGGCACTTTACTTGTATTAACTAATTTAACCCCAACAACAGCCCTGTAGGAGTAACATAAGCGTGTAACCAATTCACAGGTAAGGAAACAGTTCCAAAAGTTAACTTGCCCAAACTCACAAAAAGTAGAAAGCTTTCTTCCCACACAGACATCTCTATTCCACACCAAAACCTAGCAGGCTCAGTTCCAGGCTGTATTTTTCTTCTATATTTCATCAGGAGTCCACCCTGGGTCCAGCACCTCAGAGCAGGAGGCAGAATCAAATGGACCAGTGCCTGGAAGCAGAGAATTAAAGCGTCATCCATTCATCCATGAGCACATTCATTCACAAGCACTTATTCATCCATTCACAAGCACCTGTTTCATAGCAAACCCTGTCGCGAGAGTAGATTCTAAATGTTTATCAAGCCAGGCACAGTAGCTCATGCCTGCAATCACAACACTTTGACAGACCAAGGTGGGAGGATCACGTCGCTCGAACCCCAGGAGGTCGAGGCTGCAGTGAGCCAAGATCACACCACTGCACTCCAGCATGAGTGCTGGAGTGGAAGGAAGGAAAGGAAGGAGGAGGAAGGAAGGAAGGAAGGAAGGAAGGAAGGAAGGAGAGAGGAAGGAGGAGGAGGAGGAGGAGGGAAGGAGGGAAGGAGGAAGGAAGGAAGGAGAGGAGGAAGGAAGGAAGGAAGGAAGGAAGGAAGGAAAGGTCTTTATCAGAATGAATTAAATGGATTCATGTAACCACAAATATTTCATCTCCAAATACTCCAAGCACCAGCATTATAGGAAATTCCCAGAGAGGTGTACATATCTGATAAAGGCCTGATAAGCCTCTTAGGGTCATTCATAATTAGTGATAACAAGATACCAGAAACAAGATTTAAAAACTAAAAGAAAAACTCACAAAAATAGTTGCATTATATGGGAACCAAAGGGTTAATCAGCTCTTTCAAAAACACAACAAAAAGAACAGTCCGGTTGTAAAAGACTCAAAAGATATATAAACAGACAACTCACAGAAATCAAATGACCTTAACAAATGCTATTTGTTATTTCACTAAATAATTGCAAATTAAAATAATAAAATGATATTCTTGTCTATCTGTTTTATACAGATGAAAAAAACCTCTCACAGGGTTAGCAAAGTTATACCTTGTTGTAAAGGTATTAACTATAAAAAACTATATTAACATGTATATCTACTATGTACCCACAAAAATTAAAAATTTTTTAAAAAAAAAAAAGCTACATTAGCTTTTCTGGAGAAAAACCTGGCAAAACAAGTAAAAATAAATAATACAGGCCAGGCGCAGTGGCTCATGCCTGTAATCACAGTATTTTGGGAGGCCAAGGTAGGAGGACTGCCTGAGTCCAAGAGTTCGAGATGCGCCTGGGCAACATAGTGAGACCTTGTCTCTACAAAAAAATAAAACAAAATTAGCCAGGTGTGGTAGTGCACACCTGTAGTCCTAACTACTCGGGAGGCTGACGTGAGAGGACTTCTCAAGCCTGGGAGGTAGAAGCTGCAGTGAGCCAAGATCGCACCACTGCACTTCAGCCTGGGTGACAGAGTGAGACCCTGTCTCAATCAATCAATCCGTAATATACATAGATGTTGACCCAGAAAATCTATTTCTATGACTATTATCCTAGGAAGATAAAAGAAGATGTTTATATAGATATATTTTACATATAGACATATGCATAAGAATTTCACTGTAGAAATTCTTCAGAAATTTTAATTCACTCATCCATTCATCCATGAGCACATTCATTCACTCCACCCTGAGCAATAGAGTGAATGAATTTTTTTTATACTTGTAAAAGAGTAAGAAAAAAATATAAATCCACTGGATAAGAATACATTAAATGTATCTAATCACTGGGATACTATGTATCTGTTAAAAGAGACAAGGTTGAATCCTAAGTGCTGACCTGTAACACTATGTTGTTACAAAAAAGAAAAACACACTATATGACAGTATGAATGTATTGAAACTACTTCATATCAGATTCAACCCAGACATTACATGGATAGTGTATTCTATAATATACATGCTAATATAGTTTTTAATAATCTAATAAATCTAGATTACTTTTATATTATTTCCAAAATTTCTGGACCAAATTATCCTAATAGGCCCCTCCATCCAGCTCTAAAATTATTTAATCCTAATTTTTTTTTTTTTTTGAGACGCATCTTACTCTGTCACCCAGGCTAAGGTATAGTAGTGTGATCACAGCTCACTGCAGGCCTCAACCTGCTGGACTCGAGTAGTCATTCCACCTCAGCCTCCTGAGTATGAGGGACCAAAGGCGCATGCCCACCATGCTGGCTAATTTTTTTTTTTTTTTTTTTGTAGAGAAGGGGTCTTGCTATGTTGCCCAGGGTATTCTCAAATTCCTAGGCTCAAGTGATCCTCCTGCCTTGGCCTCCCAAAGTGTGGGATTACAGGCATGAGTCAATGCACCTGGCCTAATCCTATAAGTTTGTACACCATTGATCTTATACACACTGTGTAGTATTCTTTTTTTTTTTTTTTTTTTTGAGATGGAGTCTCGCTCTGTTGCCCAGGCTGGAGTGCAGTGGTATGCAAAGCTCCGCCTCCCAGGTTCACCCATTCTCCTGCCTCAGCCTCCAAGAGCTGGGACTAACAGGCGCCGCCACCACACCCAGCTAATTTTTTCATATTTTTGGTAGAGAAGATGGAATCGTGTTTAGCCAGGATGGTCTCGATCTTCTGACCTCATGATCCGCCCGCCTCAGCCTCCCAAAGTGCTGGGATTACAGGTGTGAGCCACCGCGCCCCACCACACAGTGTTGGTATTGCAAGGCCACAGTGTGTCTCCCCTCTATGTTTCAGAACCTTTTATTGAAGCACAATATGAAATCCAAAAGAAGGTCCAGAATTTTTATATCTATGTTGTAAATTTAAACTTTTAACATTACACCCTTAATTATCAATTATAATTCATGTTGAATTTATTTATGGAAATCACAAATTATAATGATCTCTTACCTCAATAATAATATAAGGACTACTATATTTAAAAAAGAAAAACTAAGATAATATAACTTTTTGAACATTGAAAGAGATGAATAACTACACACTCTGCCATATATGGTACACTTAACCCAAAAATGTTGAATATGAATCAAACTCTATTAGAGGGCACTTATAAACAGCAATGAAGCCCCTTGGCAGTGGGTGGGACTGAAATTTGGAGTCAGAAGACCTGGAAACAATGACCACTCTTTTGGCTCCAGAATCCCAAACAAATCAAATAACCTGCGACTCAACTGCCTCCTTTGTAAAAGCATGATAAAGGAATTATATAATGCCTGTAAAAGGTGCCTGACAGAGTGCCTGAGACAAAATAGGTTCTCATTTTCTTGTTTAATAGAAACAGCTGCATCACTGTTGCTTTTATTAAGGTTAAGGACATCTCAACTTAACTAGTTTGTTCATCTGAATGTTTGTAACATTGTATACACAACCATTCTATACTTTATTTTTATACTATATATTAGAAAGGGGCTTCTTGTTTCCAAAACTCTATTTGTTGGCACAGTCTTTTCCACCATAAATATGCAAAAACATGTGTTATCTCCGAAATTCAGGGAGAAAGCATACTTACAAAGCACACCCCCAAAGCTCCGAGTTGCTCTTCTCTGAGCTCAACGCTCTTTTTAGGCACATATGTCTTCCTCCTATCATTTCTTCATGAGGTTCAGGGCAAAGGGCCTAGTCAAGCAGATGATCTTTGGTTGCCCCTAGACTTTCCCCAAACCGCCTACAAATAAACGAAACAAGGGGTAAGACATACCTACAACTTTAAACATTTTTAAATAATGAAACATGAAAATTAGGTCCCTATGTACAGACTATGGCATAACGCAGAACAGAGAAAATGCTCCTAGAATCATTCAAAAGCCCAAGTGACCTCACTACAATTCTTCACATCCAAGTGCCCAGCCAACATATTGTCACTGGCGACTTCCATCCATGCCTGGTCATCCCTGGGGCTTGCCAGAGAGTTCATGCTCCAGTGTGAACCGCAGCCCAAGTCTAGCCAAAAGTACTACGCCATGAGCATGTCTAAAAGTTGGTAACTAAGTCAGGTAATACAGTTAACATGTTACTTCTGAGTGTGGTGACCCAATGGTACTTCTAAGCCAGTCTAACACTCCTAAAGGAAATATTTTATAAGCTGTCCAGTTCTTCCCATACTCAGTGCTACAATTAAATAAATAAAAGTAAAATGCCTTTGGTTGTAGGAAAGAGCTATGGATAGAAATGTTTTCAATTATTTGTGACTGCTTTCGAAGCAATCTCTAGGAATCCACAGGAAGTGATCCACAGAACTGGGAGCTGTCTACATAAAAGGTAGATCTGGGAATACATCTATAAACCATTTCAAGAAAAAAAAAAGGTATTCTGAAAAAGCTAATCAAAATAAAACCGTCAAGAAACAGTTCAAAGAGACCTAGGTTATGCAATGGCAGACAAGATATGCTGAGAGAACACAGGTACACTGCACACTTCACTCTTCTAACAAAACAGCCACCATAACCCATGAGTCATAGGCACAACCAAATTTATGTATGCCAATGTGAAACTGCCGAAGTTTTAACCTTATCTCTGTGCTGTCCAGTACAGTAGTCACTAGACACATGGCTACTGAGCTCTAGCTCCAGCCAGGTCAAACTGACATATGCTATACACGTAAAATACACACCAGATTTTGAAGACTTAAAGTATTTTTTTTTTTTTAACGTATAGACAGGCATGGTGGCCAGCTACTCCGCAGGCTGAGACAGGAGAATCGCTTGAACCCAGGAGATGGAGGTTGCGGTGAGCCCAGACCGCGCCACTACAGTCTAGCCTGGGCAACAGAGCCAGATTACGTCTCAAAAAAAAAAAAAAAAAAGTAAAAATCTCAGTAAGTTTTATACTACTCCATTGAAAACATTTCTCTATATTGTGCTAAATAAACCATTAAAATTAATTTCACCAGTTTCTTTTTACTTTTTTAACGTTGGTACTAAAAATTTAAATTCACCTGTGTGGCTCACACCATATTTGTATTAGACAACACTAATCTGCATAATTAATAATAATAAACAACAAATGCTGAGCACTTGCAGGGTGCCAGGCACTGTGCTAGATACTTTACATAATACTCAAATCAGTGCTGCAATTAATGGCAGAGTTTTACCAGACGCCTACATAACAGATTGGCTCCATCAAACCAATAAAAGATGCAGCTGGGATTCAATGTCAGGTATTTTTTACGAAATAATTCAATTAAGGCACAGCTAACAGCTAAGGCTGGGGCAATTCCCATGATGGCACGGGAAAAAGAGCTCACTAATACAGCGTTCCCGAGAGTAGCAAGCTTTTTGTCACTACAAAACAGGTATTTTAAAAAAAAAAAAAAAAATTAAGTTCCATAGCAGGACAGGCAAGCAAATGTCAGACGGTTCTCTGAAGGACCTACCGAATGAGTCCAATCTCCTGTCCCTTAAAGCTTCACAGATGCTAGCGGTAGAGCAAGCTGCTCCCAAAGGAAGGACAATGCAGTCCAGATTCGCTGGATAACCTGGCCAGGACCTGACCGCGGACACCCCTGCCGAGGGAGGGAGGCCTCGGGATGACAGGCGCGCCGTCTCCCCTCACCTCTGCACACACTCCACCCATCCACGGCTCCACCCCAGATCCCGCGCCGCTCCGAGGTCCCCACCCCTGGGACGAGGGGAAGCGGGACTAAAACGTCTACAGTAAGACGGGGAAGTGGTCGAAAAAGGGCAAGGGGGAGGTGGGCGCAGGTACCTGAGACGGAGGACGACCCCAGCTCCTTAACGCCGGATCATCGCCTAGGCCCCACCCGGCTCCCGCGGCTACCAGTGACCCAGAAGGTGCAACTGACCAAACGCAGCGACTCAACCGACTCTGCTCTCCCCAGACTCGCAGCTATGGCAACTTGAACTAGCCGCCCAGCCACAGCGAGAGCACAGGACCCCGCTGCCGCCGCTTGGCCCTCTGGGAGTTGTAGTCCATCTCGGCCTCACCATCAAGGAGTTACCAAGGGAGAGGGTCCGGAAAAGGAACTACAAATCCCAGGATGACATACAGCTGGCCTTCGGGTAACCTTCCCGGAAAAGAAGCCTGATCCCTCGGCCGCGCCCTCTTGCCCTGCTCTATTTTTTTTTTTTAAAGGACGAGCCTCCTTTGTAGGAGGCAAACTCCAGATAGAAAGTGAATAAAAATGCTTCCTTAACCTTGACTGTAATTTTATTCCCTGGGGAACAAAAGGAGTCCCCGAGGACTACGGTAAGATGGGGAAGTGGTAGAAAAAGGGCAAGGGAGCGGTGAGAGGACAGGGAAGGACAATTTCTAGCACTGAAATGTAAAAATCCCCTTAATACCAGCGTCCAGTATATTGTTCCAAAGACTCACAAATTCTTAGAACCGGACGGGAACAGAGAAGATTATGTAGTCCAACCTGTTTGGCCTGGAAAGAGGAAGGGACTTGCCTAAGATCCTATGGCTCATTCCCGGCACACCGAAAGTAGATGTGAGGCTGTCAGCTCATTACTGCTGCTACTTCAGTCTAGGTGTCATTCCCTCACTCTAGAACATAAAAGAAATGTTTTCCACTCAGGGGAGTTGGTTTCAGTCACGAAGAGAATGAAAACTTCAATAAAAAAACTGAACTTTGGAAAAACTAAGAAGTAACAAATTAGTCATATAAATTGCCCTTCTCCGCCAAAAAGACCACTTCCCCTTCCTTCTTTGAGGCTAAACTCAAGTATTACCTGATGTGTGAAAGCTTTCCTGGCTACGTGAAGAAGAGCTAGATAATGTTTAATAACAAGCGTTCCTTAATGTAATAATTCTGTGCTCTATACTCCATTTACCAGTTGGTCTCCTCTATTAGCCCTTCAAAGGGACCTAACCTTTTTTTAAATTTTCATCTTTCTTCTCACCCTTTCCTCACTTGCCCTTCTCCGTTCATATCCCCCCTCTGTCTCTTTTTCTCTCTCCACCTTTCTCTCCTTCCGTCCCTCCTTACCCCTCCCCCGCAACAGGCAGAGTCATAAATAATTAGCACATAAATTTGATAGAGTCGAATTATTCGAATATTTTTGTCTATCCAACACTGAGACATAAAACTATCTCATATTGGTTTGAACATAAAATAATTATTCTAAAGACCTCCTATGCATTTGCAATTTCAAGCTGCTTATTTGAAATTGTTCCTCAAGAATACACTCCACCGGACAGAGTTTAAGATAATTCAGAACAGCCATAAAATTGCCGCATACGCATGCAGAGGCATAATAATAACTGTTTATTTGTTAACATTTTAACTTTTAAAACAATTCTATTCATTCATATAATTCAGTAAATGTATGCTGGATATTTCCAGGATCCAGACATTGTTTTATACACTGAAGGTGCAGTGAAAATAAATAAACATAGACCTTGCTTTCAAATTGCTCAGAGCCATGTGAGAGAAAAAGACTAATAAATGACTACAAATCTCTGTGTAATAGAATACTGCATAGGTTTCTATGGAAAGACATAAAAGAGAAACTTTCTGAAGAAGTGATAATCAGATCAACCGCAGGAGAAATGTCTACCAAAAGAGCTAATGTAATCCTGAGCTACATTAATAAAAACTGATAGTCCACAGCTTTTCCTCCCTGGTTCAACGATATTTAGAGAATTGGATTCTATTATAGAGGCTTTATTTTTCAAAGTGATATTAACCAAATAAACATCACAGGACACAACTGGCACCAAAGGGTTAAAAAATCAGTTTTTGTTTTGTTTTGTTTTGTTATTTTAGTTCATTTTGATCAAGAAATGCTTAAATATGTTATCAAATTCATAGCAGCTGTTTGTCAGCTATGGTGTGCTCTTGGTCAACAGATATGGCATCCCAAAAAAATGTAGTGAAGTCAGGGCGGGGGCGCTGACTCAAGCCTGTAATCCCAGCACTTTGGGATGCCAAGGTGAGCAGATCACGTGAGGTCAGGAGTTCGAGACTAACCTAGCCAGCATGGCGAAACTTCGTCGCTACTAAAAATACAAAAATTAACCGGGTTTGGTGGTGGGCACCTGTAATCCCAGCTACTCAGGAGGCTGACGCAGGAGAATCATTTGAACCCGGGAGGCAGAGGTTGCAATGAGCTGAGATCGTGCCACTGCACTCCAGCCTTGGTGACAGAACGAGACTCCATCTCAAAAAAAAAAAAAAGTAGTTAAGTCACATCACTGAATCTTCATTTTTTGTGTCTTAACAAAATAGACAAAATGAGTTAAAGCCAACAAAATAGATTTTACCTGAAATTGTCTCATAACTCTCAAAGATATGTATTACTTTTAATCAATGTGGCCAACACACATTATACAAACACAATACCATAATCAAGCAGAATCATCTGAGCTTAGATTTGGAGAAACCTACAAAGAGTATTGATACGGTCTGGCTGTGTGTCCCCACCCAAATCTCATCTTGAATTGTAATCCCCACATGTCGGGGGAGGAATCTTGTGAGGGATGATTAGATCATGGGGCAGTTCCCCCATGCTGTTCTCATGATAGTGAGTGAGTTCTCAGGAGAGCTGATGGTTTTATAAGAGGCTTTTGCCCACTTCTCTCCCCTGCCGTCATGTGAAGAAGGATGTGTTTGCTACCCCTTCTGCCATGATTGTAAGTTTCCTGAGGCTTCCCCAGCCATGCAGAACTGTGAGTCAATTAAACCACTTTCCCTTATAAATTACCCAGTCACAGATAGTTCTTCATAGCAGGGTGAAAATGAACTAATACAAGTATCATTTGCAGTACGCTTTGCAAACCACGTATTATAAGTAGGGGCACACGGAGGTTACATTATGTATTCGTTTACTAGGGATTTGATTAAATACCACAGAATGGGTGACTTAAACAACAAAAATTTGTTTCTCACAGTTCTGAAGGCTGCAAGTCCAAGATCAAGGTGTCAGCAAGTTCAGGTTCTCCTAAGGTCTCTGTCTTTGGCTTCCATTTTTTCTCTGCATCCTCAAATAGACTTTTCCCTGTATGAGCACATACATGGTTTCTCTCTCTTCTTATAACAACACCTGTTATATTGAATTAGAACTTCATACTATAGCCTAATTTAACCTTAACTACCTCCTTAAAGGCCCCATTTTCAAAAACAGTAACATTGGGGGTTGAGGTTTCAACATGTCTTCCCCAAAATTGTACCTATTCAGGATTAGTGTCATCAATGATCTTCTCATTACATAATACCTGGATTGAGGTAGCTGCGGGAGATATTTTTGATATGCCTCACCCACATCACCCCTTAACTGGAAATGATTCTACCCACAGTGTTGGGCCCCCATGGCCTTGTTTATATAATACAAAGCCCCTACCTGTCTCACCGTGGCTGATTAGACAAACAGTAGACAGACACCTGAGACCATTTGGGCCAATTGGGCTCTTTATCCTTTGAGAATTGAAAATGGGGACTCAAGCTCCCAATTTGTTGCTAGAATAGTCTTGATGTACAGGTAAGAGCTGAGGCTGCCACAGAGAGGTGACCATCTTCACCTGTGTTCAAGAAGCAGCTGATAATGCTAACCTGCAGAGACAGAGAGAAGTGAGTAAAGCAGTGAGAGGAAATAAACTACACAACTACGAGGAAATAAGCCCAAGAGAATACAGCCCCGGTTCCTGACAACTTCCAAGTTCCTGGATTCAAGCCTTGTTATTCCTGCTTGTATTTCCTGTACTTGTTTTTTCACGATACACTAGAGGCAACTGGAGGTGGTTAAATGCACCGATTCTGGACCCAAACCACTTGGATCCAAGTCCATTATAGTACCTATCAGCAATGTTACTTCACACAAGTTACTTAATCACTCTGTGTCTTCATTTCTTCCTCTTCTAAATGTGGACAATAAAAATAGTACTTCGTTTGTCGTTGTTTGGGGGATAAAATAAATTAATGTGTGTAAAGCACTAAGCCTAGTGTCTAATTCATGGTAAGCATTATTGAATGTAAGCTGCCCTTATATGTAAGCTGACAAATACTATGACATCCTAAAAATGTTAGTTCCATGAATATTGGTACTCTATTATTTTGTTCTAGAACAAAGAATGTATTAATACCTTGTTGCCTCATGATGATTTCCGTTTTGAAGCCTAAGGTTCATTCTGTTGATTGAAATCTAAAGAGCCTTGACTAAGGTTACATTAATGAGATCACCAGCCTGTAAGATCCAAGATGCTAATTCTAGATATAGCTTCTTGAGCAGTTTCATCAGAAACACTTTTGAACCATACAAAACATTAAATGCCTAGATGAGCTAGTCAATAAAAGGGTTCTGGAATGGGGCTAGTCATTGACCTGAGCATCCTAACCCAACTCATCTAGAATGAATAAATGTAGAGAAGGGAAGACAGCTCTTATGTAAGAAGCTGTGGGTGGCAGACAGAGGTAGTGCTGTTTCAAGGAGAAGGGACAGAAGTTGTATTTCACCAATAACTTCCAAATTTATACAACTATGAAACAACAACAGCTGATATGATTTGGTTCCGTGTCCCCACCCAAATATCACATGGAATTGCAATCCCTAATGTTGGGGGTGGGACCTGGTGGGAGGTGATTGGATCACAGCAGTGGATTTCCCCCTTGCTGTTCTCATAATAATGAGTGAGTTATCACAAGAACTGTTGTTTGAAAGTGTGTAGCACTTCCCCCTTCACTCTCCCTTTCTCCCACTCTACCATGTGAAAAAGGTGCTTGCTTCCTCTTCACCCTTCGAAGCACCATGATTGGAAGTTTCCTGAGGCCTCCCTAACCATGCTTTGTGTACAGCCTATGGAACTATGAGTCAATTAAACCTCTTTTCTTCATAAAATTACACAGTCTCGGGTGGTTCTTTATAGCAGTGTGAGAATGGACTAATACAACAGCACACTATGTCCATGTGACACAAAACTATATTTGAAATACCAAAAGTTTCCTCAAATGTTTATATTTTTTTTCACCCTGGCTCTCCCCTTATCTCCATTTCTGTCAGCTACGTTGTTCTGCACTTATGGCCTTAGAAATGGGATGTGACCACAGAAAGCAGAAAGGGAGAAGAATTGAGGAAGAAAAAGAAGAAGAAAATACTTCATTTTCTTCCTGGCTTATGAGTATTAAACACAAACATTCTCAGATAGGACAGGCTGTGTAAT